ATGACACTTAAACTGACAACGGTTACACATAAGCATTTTTTTGGTTTGGTTCTCCTAAAGTATGAAACCATTTTTTTAAAGAACTGCAGAAGTGTAAAATTATGTTTCATCTTTTTTTTTGTTAATTTTTTATGTGTTTTAAAAAACAAAAAAATGTATAAATCTTTTCATAATTACTTATGTAGGAACCTATTTTTAATTTCTAATTGATTTTTATTGAGTTATTGTCACATAGAATGATTTCCAAAGAAATTTTACGAGATAGAAGTCCCTTTTTAAAAATCTTGAGTTGTTAATTTATAATACAGATTATTATCTAGACAATTAATGTAGACATACAAATATACAATTGGTATTCCATATAATAATAATATATACTATAAAACATCCAGTATACTTTTGTATAATTATTTTTCTGGAATAGTTATTAAATAGTAGTGAAATAATAAAATACTATTTAATTGTAACGAAATACGCTTATAATTGTTCAGTGCTCTTAAACTGACTTCTGAGAGACAATTCTCCGGAGACTCGACTTGTCGGACGACCTTCGAACATAGTTATAGTCCTTCCATGTTTGATTTACAAAGAATTGTCTACTATGTACCGTCTACACACGAGAAATTATGAAAGTTTCTTTTCTGTAAAAATAAAAATACTTTACAATACAATATATGACGATAAGACCTTACGTATTTAATAACTGTTCGCTTGTATTTATAGTAATGCCCTGGAATCATCTTTATTAGAAAATTCGAACAAAATTCATCTGGGTTGATCCTAAAAAAATAATAATAATAAATAAATAAATGAGACAGGTCGGTTATTGCTGTATTTATGTTGTACGAAGCCTTTTCCTTGTATTACATAAATATAGACGATGGCAAGCTCAAGCTTGAAATATGACTTAATTTTAAAAAGCTACCAGTTTCGAATTCTCAGAGGGCTATACAGGATGAGTGTCTTATATTATTACGACCCTGTAATGTGACACGAGTTGCGTTCGTCCGTTACTGAGCGCTCGGGGGGCTTAAATTTAAATACGATCTATGGACCGGGTCGTCTCGTTGGGTATAGGTATAGAGTATTTCCAAGACTCTAAACATATTTTCCTCATTAACTTATACTTGATAAGGGCTGAGTATTCAGCACCACGTAGGGACATAAACAAACGAGCTACGTTGAATAGAGCGAGCGGGGTGGTTCAAAGAATATATTTTCAAGATTGAGCACAATAATAAAGTGAAAATAGAGCTTATTATTTTCTCGGATCTCATTTGAATATCCTTTTCTTTTCGTTCAACGAATGGTTCTATTCTAAATTATATTCTTAAAACCGTTCGGTGCATTACCCCTTATGCTCTCGTCATATATAATAATATATGAGAACAATATTATAATATTATATAATATAATCCATGTAAATAAGAAACTATATTTGTTTTTATAGTGACTATTTTACTTCAAGGAGTGATAATTTGCCATTTAATTATTTTTATAATAATGAAATTATATTTTTAGGTATTTATAGCTATTATGGGTCTTTGTATTTTTTTTTTATCTTGACATGCCATTGTTTACTGTATTTTTGAAGTTGGTTTTTTCCATATTATTAACAATATCATTAAAATGTTCTGTCATTAGTTATATGACTTACATCATATTATTATTAGTTAATAACCCACGACAATATCATATTACCTAATAGTCTGTTTGATTTTTAAAAATAAAGCTGAACGTCGTGTATTGAAGAGTATACATCGGTTCAGTCATGACTAACTACTATAAAACTAATCATGGGTTCGTATTATATCATAAGTGCGTATGTAGTCGATAAGTAAGCAATAGTAAGTAAGTGAGTAATTATGACTAATTATTTGTATCGTTTAGAATTTAAATTTAAATTTACAAAAAAAAATATATTATTCTCCGTGAACGAAATAATAATGTCCCGCAACCGTCGTTCTGATTATAATAAACGACCGCGGCGCGGTGGTTCGCGGAGAAAAGTTTTCCAATTCACAAAACCGCCATATTGCCACCACCACCACCACCACCACCTCCACCACCTCCACCACTACTATCACTACCACCACCACCTCTACTACTATCACTACCACCACCACTACCACCAACAACATCACCACTATACCACCGCCGCCTCCACTGCACCCCGCACAGATGCCTCAACTCGGTGAGCTGGTCCGCTAACAACTGATGCGTTTTAAGCTGAGTTTTACGAATTCCGGCGGCAGAAGACTGGGCTTATTGTGTGTAAGTATCGTTCCGACACGTTGCACACAATACGCTTTTGTGTAGAAGTTTGCACGCGTGTAAATGGAACCATGGGACTGCGCCCACACACGGGTATTACACGCTCACACGCACAACTGCAGGACGCATGTCGCCTTATCAATGATGGGCGAGGACAAGCGAAAAATAAAATAGCATATTGTGCTCCGGCGGTGACACAGACCCGGATCGGTTGAGGCGAGCTACCGAGAAAATCTCCAGTGGGCCGTTTGGAGGTCATTTTATTTGCATTACATGACAACGATAAGTCATTATAGTGGGTAGTTGCGAACGTCAGTAGAACATATTATTATTATCACAATAATTAATCGAATAATAATAATATCAGCAAACCTACAACAGTTGTAGCTGACGTGTAGTCAAACGTCAGAAATCCTAAACTTCAGTTGGCCCGCGGGAGACCATTCCTTTCCGGCGATGCAGTAACAGCAGTTTATACCGTGGTACAACTGGTGCATACCGCGCGGTACATTGCGACTGCAACTGCAGGATTGCGTGAACCTGGGTAGGCCAGGCGGACCATACGACGGGGACGCTCGCGGTACTTGCAGTTAATTAAGACATTTCGAATGGATACGAAAACTGATTTAATTAAGCACGCGCGTACCCTTCGGTCTTATACACGAATAACCGAGTGTCCGTGCGTACATATAAATATATTATAAGAGAAGCTGACACTAATTTGGTGTATTACTGCAAAACATTTCTTCCATAAATCAATTTCGACTTCGTCGTGCCTCATTTTCGGAGAGTATAATATATTGTGCTATATGTATATAAAGATTCAATTAATTTCTCTCGTACACGCGCATGTAACGACAACGTTGATTGTAGCGCTGGAGTCAGGCGGGCAGGTTCGTGTACGGACGCGGTCACAAATAGCCTAAATTATTTAAGTCTTTGAAGTCTCCACAATTTAATAGAAAACGATGGCTATATATATATACGTTAGGTAAGCGCGTTTGGTGTTCAACGAAGTAATACAATTTTAAATGGGAGTGGAATTTTTCCTCGTGGGTGGGTTTCAGGGTGGAAGGGGGTTGATGGTTGAAGTCATTCGCCTCGGGCCTAATAGCTAAGATTTTTTTTTAAATATAGTAATTTATTATGTTTTAGCAACATTCCTTATAAAAAGTAAATGGCTGCTAGGTACCGGATCGTCGTCGAAGAATTAAATTCAATTTGGATATATGTATAATTTATCACACCAAAAACACTTCGTTATAACTCCTTGTAAAAAAAAGGTAACTTAAAAAAAAAAATTTGGTTATGATTAAATTTTTAAAATACGTGATATAATATGGAAATTAAGTAAAATGACATTTTATAATATTACAAATACCTATGATGACAAATAAGATCAATTGTAATGTTAAATACTTAGTCAACATATTGTTGATACATTGTTAATTACTGCAAATACTGTAGTAATACTATATTTATTGAAGTATACTTCTAAGTCCTGCGAAATAGTTAAACATAATATGTTGACTAAGTATTTAACATTACAATTGATCTTATTGGTCATCATAGGTATTTGTAATATTATAAAATGTCATTTTACTTAATGTCCATATTATATCACGTATTTTAAAAATTTAATGATAACAACATTTTTTTTTTTAACTTAGCTTTTTTTTTACAAGGAGTTATAACGAAGTGTTTTTGGTGTGATATCAGCTATTTTTTTTATGAAATAGGTCGCGATTTTATTTGACTGTATATAATAATAATAATCCATAATAGCATATGCATCGTTGGCCTCCTGTTGTTATAATATCTCTTTTAGTTTTTTTTTCTTAAACTATAACATAAATATGATATCGTTACATCTAACCCATATTTTTTTATTATGTTTAATAACTGATGTATAATGGGCTTGACTGCTTGAGACTTGAGTCATAGATGGACCATGATGGAAAATCACAGAATTAAGAGCATTAATTGATTAAATGATCAATTGTAATGTTAAATACTTAGTCAACATACTATGTTTAACTATTTGGCAGGACGTAGAAGTATACTTAAATAAATATAACTAAGTAATCACTACAGTATTTACAGTAATTAACAATGTATCAACAATATGTTGACAAAGTATTTAACATTACAATTGATATTATTTGTCACCATAGGTATTTGTAATATTATAAAATGTAATTTTACTTAATTTTATTTAATCATTACTAAATTTTTTTTTTAACTTAGCTTTTTTTTTACACGGAGTTATAACCAAGTGTTTTTGGTGTGATATAATATACACTCAACAAAACGAAAAAGAAGAAACAATATTTTCTTGTGTTCACAAAATTTGTTTATCATAGTAGAAAAGGTTAGCAAATAAGAAAAAAAAAACCGAAATTTAAATGTGTGAACAATTTAACAATTTTGAATTTTGAAATGACTTAAGTTTAAAGAAAAAAAAATACGACGGACAGGATAGACACAATAAACAAGGGGGGGGAGGATGCGAGATGGCGATTGGTGCAGAAATGCAGTGTTGCTGGCCACTGGTCACCTCTGCACGTTCTCCGACCTGTCCAGCGGGTTGACGAGTGTCCCTGGTGCGTTTGCTCAGACGCTTGACGACTTTGCCCAGCCGGCGAGGCCAGACGGAGACGGCCACGGGAGCGACCGCGGTAAACGTGATATTGATGGAAATGTTGGAGGATATTTTTGTCGACAAGATGGAAGGAGCTCTTGCTGATAAAACAGAAGAAAGTCTCGTTCGTCTAGTCGCGCCAATCCTGTCTGCCATTGACATGGTCACCACTACTGGTGACGTTCAGACCCTGGAGTCGGAGTCTGGAGGCTCGACTCTTGGAGGTGCAGTGGGAGAGGCGTCGGCAGAAGACGTCGAGGAGACCGTCTTCTCGCACGGTGATGGAGTGCCGAACGGCGACGCCATCCTGTCCGCCATCTTCGGAGCTTCGGACGTCTCCTTATCGGCGGCAGAATCAGCAAAGGCCGCGGAAAAAGCGTCTCAGGCTCTTCCACCTCTTTGGAGGCGCATCGCTGCAGATTTCGGGTGCTTCGGCCACCGGGTCTAACCAACCGACAAGCTCGCCAAAATTGTTGAACACCGCTTCTCCCCTGGCGGGCTCGATCTTTTCATCCGGCATTTCTGGACCCAAAATGGAATGGTCCTCAGCTGCTTCCAAAACTTTGGAATCTCCGTCTTCCCGTACAGTGTCTTCGTCGCCGAGCGGTGCTGTCGTTGGGATCGGAGCTAGCTTCGACTCTGCCGCAGACGACAGCGCGTCGCTGCTCGGCACTCCATCACCGTGCGAGAAGACGGTCTCCTCGACGTCTTCTGCCGACGCCTCTCCCACTGCACCTCCAAGAGTCGAGCCTCCAGACTCCGACTCCAGGGTCTGAACGTCACCAGTAGTGGTGACCGTGTCAATGGCAGACAGGATTGGCGCGACTAGACGAACGAGACTTTCTTCTGTTTTATCAGCAAGAGCTCCTTCCATCTTGTCGACAAAAATATCCTCCAACATTTCCATCAATATCACGTTTACCGCAGCGCGATCGATGTCGCAGTTGTCTGTTGTCATACTTTATGTTTTGAAAAGATAATTTGTGCGTGTACTTTAGGATTCGATCGAGAGTTAGAAATGAGCTAAATAAGAATCTTTCAACACAGTTGAATCGATCTCCGAGAAAATCTCCCAGACGACTGTGTGTATCACTAGCCAGCTACTATGTTTATCGTTCTCGTCGGCCCGCAGCATTAGAATTTTGAGCGCGTTAACAATAATAATATAATAACAATTTTATTTTATTTGCAAACAATTCCCAACACATTTTCAATTGTAAATACAGTAGTAAGTTTGCTCACCTCCTATAAGCAAAAGCTTGGGTTGAAGGTGAGAGGTTCTCAAATTATACATAAAATTTAAATTCAAATAATAACAATAAAGTACAATATAAGATTTACTTAATACAAAATAGAGCGTTAACTTTTCTAAAGACCACTATTATTATTGATATCCAGCTCCACTGGTTGTAATAAATAAAAATAATAACTGCACGACGATCTGTGATGTTTAGTATATCGAAGCCGGAGTTGCCTATTTAATCTGTGTAAAATACAGGTAAATTTGTTATTAGACATACACATAACTAACTTTTTTTTTCATTAATTAGCCCCTAGTAAACTCCAAAACATCAGAAATATTGTGTATAACGTGCTGTTGTAAAAATCATCAAAATCATACTTTTAGAAATTAAGTTATAAATGAAAAAGTGAGAACTTTTTAATGGAAATTTATATTAAATTCAGAATCACGGTAGCCGCCGCCGTCGTCGTCGCATCAGCCTTTGCCATTGTTACCAACAATATTACCGTTCTTATAGATTATGTGTAAATAGTAAATACTCAATATTTAATAAAGATAAAAATTAGTGATATCACAACAAAAACCCTTCGTAAGCTACGTGTAAAAATGGCTAAGTAAAAAAAATATAAGGTCTTTAAGCACTATAAAGATGTGATATCATGATTCATGATTAAATGCTAAGTATATTGAATTTAATTAAACTTATTTTCTTTCAATAATTGATTTACTTGGCGAGGAATTATTTAGAATAGTATATAATTATTAATAATAATATTATTTTTAAAATAATTTTTATTTAACTTATTTTATTGAAAAGAATACTAGGTACGCATTAGTTACATAGAACAAGCTCATATCATTGTTGAAGTCGATACATTTTTCATTGTTTATTCATCAATTATTTTTATTTTGTACATTATAAAAATTATAGTAAACCGATCTCTTTTAATAAATTATACACATATTAAAAACGAATTATAAAATTATTACATGATTGATTTAATTCTACCATGGTAACAAATACATAAAATAATTATTTCTTAATGAAAATCAAGTGTTGCGTTATGTGATATTTGCAAACATGTAAGAAGTAAGTAGTAAACACTTGAATGACTATGAATGACTCTTAAAACATTTAAAATTTTTATTTCTTAAAATATTTACAATTTTAAAAACATATCCTTTACAAATAAAATAGGTAGTATATGTTGGTTGTCTATAAAATAAAACTGGCTAGCCTAATTTTCAAACTTCAACTAAACAATTTTCTAACCAGTAGTTAAAATATCAAAATTGTGCAGATCATATAACAATTATTTCAGTTATTCCAATTTCACATATCACACAATTTTACCCAACTTTGAATGTGGTAATATTTTATCACCTGCATCACTTCGAAGACGTTGAGACAGCTCTGACAGATTTGGTTTTTTCTGTATAAAATGTTTGTAATGTTCATAATTGGGTCAACTAACTTCTATACTGTCTATGTTTTCCATGAAGCTTGAACTGAACTAGATTAATTTATACTTATTTAAGTTGTCAAAATGTCTAAAATCCAAAGTCATTGTCAAAAAACATATTATGAAGTTACGTTAACTTCCACATTCCAAGGTGTAAGCGATGTCAGTTATACAGACACACCTATAGGTACCCGTGTGGTCACCGATCACAGTGCTTTCCATGTAGCAAAGATCATCTCACTGAAGATTGTAGTAATTAGTGTAAGTTACCGGCCAAATGTGTTTCTATGTTTTGGGTAATTATAAAAAATGTCCACTATAAAAAAATAAGATGCAATTTATTAGACAAGAACTGCATTTATTTTTTCTTTTGAACAACGTTCCCGGAAAAAAAATGTCTTCGATTGTTCTGTCAGTCAGGGTAAAAAATGTGCATACTCAACTAAAAAATAATTCATAAGTAGAATCAACAAAAGCATAAAAATTAACCTTGAAAATCTATTTGTCATATTATATCGCAACTCATCTGAAATTTAAAATGGTTAGTATACCTATTATACACAATGAAATAATATTGTTATTAGTTATTATTTATTACTTATATTAAATTATTTTTGTATATTAATATTAATTGTTGAGGAGCCATCATGGTCCTCACTAGAACTTGATAAAAATAAAAATAAATCGTTTAAATCATAGAAAGTATATTATGTTGATATTATGTATTTTTTTCGAAATTATTTTAAATCAACCTACCTAGGTATAATATTATTATCATGATTGTAACAATTATTTGTATTATTATTTCGTGTTTTCGTTGAGTTTTTGCAACAGGGTAGTTTTTTTTATCTCGTTCCTTAACATAGGATATCATATGTAGGTATATATGCAGAGACCGGTGGCATATTATAGGGGATGATTTTCGAACTCGTGCCTTGAATAACACACGTGAGAGAAAGACACGCAGAGACGTACTGTACCGAAGAGAGAGAGAGAGAGAGAGAGAGAGAGAGGGGGAATATGAAGGGACTCTCACACACACACTGGCAGAGACATAGACTGCATTTACGCGTATGGTAAACGTTCACATCCGCTCGCGTTTATTATTGATAATGATACGGTGGACGAGGCTTAACGGCGAGTGCTTAACGGACCGTTAAAACCGAAGGTCCAAAAACGGTGAACCGAAACGGCCCGGGTGGAGGCGAAAAGGTTAATGCATGACGTCACGACCCCGTGTGCGGGCTTAAATGAGCGACGAGACGCCAGGGATGACTGATGTCGATCAGTTTGCGTGGGTGTGTGTATTATTCTGGCAAACGCTCGCCAGCGCGTCACAGCAACGGAATAATAATAAAAATGATTATAACATTAAAAACGGTGCAAATGAAATATTTCAAGAAAATAAATTTCATGCAATTTTAAGGACCTAATCATTGTATTATTCAATAATATTCGAGAGTAACACGATTGCGTACTTTTTATACCTTTTTATCCGATATAAAACACGACACGATTGCGCACAATAATTAATATTATATCTGATCTTGCTGGTCTTAATGAAATTCACAATATATTATAATAATGACTAGGTATACCTAATGATTTACTTACACATTTATAATGCTTAGTATAGTTAGTAAGACGTAATAAGTATAATATAATATTAATTACCAACGTGTATTGAAGTATCAAATAAACTGTTAATAATACCGTGTAATTTGGGTGTACTTATACTTGGTATATGGGTTAAGTCATGGTTTGATTAATGTTTGTATTGTACAATTTAAATGTGGTAGGAAAAGTGACGTAACTAATGTGTGACTAGGGGGGTTTACTACGATTTAGCCCCCCCCCCAAAAAAAGAAATATCCCATATTGATTTAGATATAAGCCCTCTATTGGTTATTTTAAATTAATAGTTTTATTAGATGTGCTGTAGCGCCCCAGAATTTTAACCCTAGTTGCGCCTATAGGTAGGAATATAATATAATATAGGTACAATACTATACAAGTGAATTTCTTAAACTGTAATAATTTATATTTTTGTGCAAAATCGTGTCATGTTTTCCCAAACATAAAAAGGAAAATAATACCCATTCGTTATGTGTTTTTGCAGGTAAAAAGGTAAAAGTTCGCAATCGTATTGCACCGCAATAATATATTATTGTAGATATTAGCGAAGGTTAAGGTGTCGAACTATCATTGTAGATTTGTATTTGTGTTTTGCCACACATGCATGTAAAAATTACACGTATTTCATAATCATATTATTATTATTATGATCACATCACTCGTGACTACAACTTACAGTAGGTACGACACAATATATTAATATAATATTGCAGCAACGTGATACATACAGAAGATTCACAATCATTGGATCTTGCCGTTTACTTTTAGTCTTTCAGAATAATATTATGTTACGTGTCACTATCCTATAATATTATAGATATACCTCAGGGAACATGCTTTCGGTAGGTAATCGAAGTTTATCGAATGAAGCTGATCTGATCACGTAATATCTTGGGCAGTGCTCGGTATTTGTGTTATTGCATCGATTATTATGATTAGTGAAGGAATAATGTCGATCACATATCATAACAGTCACATAACTACAAAGTGAAATATTTTATCAGACAATTATTTTTTTGATTGACTTACCACCCATTGACTACTTAATATAATATAGGTATATATATATTATGTATATTATAATGCTTGCTTTCAAAGTTATTATTCTTTTTAAATATCATATCCAGATGAAGTTAGTTTTGTCTTACAATTTTTCCATAACCCAGTACTCGCCCTGCAGTGAGGCAACCCCCACCCACCCCTTTAAAATTATCGGGCGCAACTGCCCTTCAAAATTACGGTCAACATGCCACTGTATCATAGGCCTCGGCGTAAGTATTTTTTGTTGTTGCATCGATTATGATTAGTTAAAAAATGTGAGCAATTCAACATCACAGCCTTCTATTATCCGTTTCATCCAACTAAAACAGAAAATCGAAATAATAAATAAAAGTGGACCAGTAGCACTCCATGATAACGTCATAAATATTTTATAATATGGGACTTCAACAGTACCACGATAGCAGTCAAAGCTGGTCGATAATTTATAAGGAATTTATTTTGTCAAGAAATGAACGCGGTATCGCGGTTACATCGTCTTATACGTGGTTGCCTGCTGAAGTACTTGTAGTTTTTTGTTGTTGTTGATTTTTTTCCAATAATGTGGTCGTTTACAAT